GTTCAATTTAAATTATACAACAAAGAAAATTACTGGACTGAAAATTGTGAGATAGAGAAATATTGAGTGCTTTATCAACGATTCAAACAAAGAGTTTACATTATGTCAAATTATGTCATGATCCTAGTGATTGGTTACTTAAAAAAACAATTCACTTTGAGAGTATAATACCGTGAACTGGTTACCCCTACAAAACACATAATAAATAAACACAAAAATATCCAGTCATCGTTGAGAGGAAAAAGCGTCTCGGTGGTGTAAATTTTAGCGTGCGAGGAAATGCCTCGATGATGTAAATTTTAACGTTGCGAGGAAATGCCTCGGTGATGTAATGATGATAACGATGCTAATAACGATGATAACTGCCTTAGGGAAGAAATTATTTTAACCCCCTGCCAGTTCACGACATAATGAATTTTGTTAGTTTAACTACCGTAAATGAACTATTAGCAATCTTGTATGAAGAATTAAGAAGTGTTATGATGTAACACTTACGTATATGCATCCAGAAACTTATTTATAATTAGACAAACAAAATGGAACAATAAGTCCTCACTAAGTGAATTTCATGAAATTTCCTAGCAAGTGTCCGTTAAATTGTGTTAATGTTACAGCTAATATCCGAAATACGTTATTATGCATAATAACTAGATATTTTAGGAATTATGCGTAATAACTAAACTTGTTAGTTGTTACGCATACCTAATAACCGGAAACATTAGGAATTATGCGTAATAACTGAATTTTTCAAAATACCTGAAACATTAGTCATTAAGCATATTGCCTAATAGGCCAGGGCCGATAAATAATTTTTGAGAACAAAAAAATTTAGAACAGGATGATACCCATTGGAAAAGGAAGAAAATATAACAAAAATAAAAGGAAAAATAATTTACGGGCGATCCGAGGTCGGGAAGTGGAAGAGCTTTTAAGGGTAGAAAACGGTTTATCACGATTTCCGGCAAAACTACAAGTCCTATGGCAAAAAGTTAAATAGCAAAGTTGTAGGTCATAAAAGGTTCTACAACTTTTTTATTTAGACTTTTTTTACATAACCTAAAAATTTATGCGAAAAATGCAAATAACCGAGTTTTTGGTTTTTTATTTTTATCCCCCACAAAAAAGTTTCTTTTTCGGGAAATTTGGTGATGACTTACCTACTTATGTCCCAAACTCACTGTAATTTTTTTGATCCAAAATATTTTTCGCCCTTATTTTGATTTAATATCGAAAAATCAACCTAATTTTCAATCGAAAATTCTCACCTCAAAATGTTTGCTTTTTAAAAAAATCGGTGTGCTTTTTGTTCATTGAAATCTCTACTTTCGGATGGTCTAAAAAAAAGTATACATTATTATGGCAAATTTTCACAGGAAATCCCAAAAAAACGAAAAACTCGAATTCGAATTTTTTTTTAATCATGTAAAATTTTGAGCTATTTATAAAAATTTACACTTTAACTACTCGAAAAATGTAAGATTCCATGTTACACTGATAAACTAAAAAAATTAAAATCCATGAAACAAACGCCTTCTGTTGGTGGAAGATTTGTCAATATGAAAGATGATTTAATTCTTGTCAATTGATTTTCGAAATCTTAATTAATTCAGTGTTATATTTTCATTTTTACATTTATAAATATATTTGATTAATTGTAAGCCATTTTTTGCGATATCTTCTTTGTTTGCATGTTTTTTATAAAAAATATTGGCCAAATTTGCAAACGTTGTCTTGCCATATAAATTATTTCTAGTGAATATTTTAGTAGTTAAATAAAAAAATAAATCAAAATAAATAAATAAATTATAATTAAATTCAATTATAAATTATACATAAAAACTTATCGTACAACAATGATTATATTCAACAGCCACCTTGAACCCTGCCTTGCGTATCTGGGGATGAAAGTAAAAATACTAATATCGTTACTACAAAATGGGGGTTGGTGGTAGAAGGGTGAAAATTTAGGGTTATATGTATTTTTGAAGCCAAATCTTAAAAAAATAAAAACAACAAATTTTGGCCGAAAAATAAAAAAAAAAATTTTGGATGGGCCACCCTTATCACCTAGGGGTATAAAAAATTGTTTACGATCTATTCTCAGACCTACCGAATATAGAGAGAAAATTTCATAAAAATCAGTCAAACCGTTTCGGAAGAGTTTGGTTACACACACTGACACGAGAATTTATATTAGAAGACAATGAATTTACGATGTTTTTCTTTCCTTTTCCGGCAAATCCAGATGTTATATCGCAACCAGAAAAACAATGCAGAAATGCAGCGATATTTTTGAAAGACTCATATCTGAAACTATTGGACGTGAAAAATAGATCTTTTACATTTCCAGAACCTGGTTTGAAAAAATAAATGTCATAATTATTTGAATTCAATTGATTCAAAAGGACTAAAATATCTTGACCCACAACTATGACAGTTTTGTTAGTATCTCTGGCACTTTCTATCGAGATCTTAATTATGTCAGCATCAACATCTTCTTCTGCTTGTTTACAGGAAAATCCTTGTGACTGTAGATTCCAAAAGTTTCTTTTAAATAAGTCAATTCGTCACGATTCTCTTCAAGTAACTCTGCCTGCACGTGTATTTTTATAGACGATGTTGTTCATTCTTCTGATGGGCTAAAATTTTCCGTAGGCCATTCAGGTAATGTAAGTTATCTTAAAATAGCAATAAATAGGCACCTATGATATGCATATTATTTAGAAATTATCCTACAACTTTAACAAAATATTGTAGATGTCTTATAAAGTATTAAGTGTATTAACTTATTTGGTTGTTAATTATAGTAATATATTTCGATTTGAATTTTTTAATTTATCAATGTAACATGGAATATTACGTTTTTCGAGTAATTAACGTGTACATTTTAATAAAAAGCTCCAAATTTTACATAATAATGAAAAAACAAATTTTTGAATTCGAGTTTTTTCGTTTTTTGCATTTCCTGTGAAAATTTGCCACAGTAATGTATAATATTTTTACACCTCCAGAAAGTAGAGATTTCAGCGACGAAAAAGCACACCGATTTTTTTAAAAAAGCAAATATTTTGACGTGAGAATTTTCGATTGAAAATTAGGGTGGTTTTTCGATATTAAATCAAAATAAGGGAAAAAAGTAAATATTTTGAATAAAAAAAAAATATATATAGCGACTTTGGGACATAAATAGGTAAGTTTTCACCAAATTTCGTTAATTTTTTTTTTGTGGGAGATAAAAATAAAAAACCAAAAACTCGGTTATTTGCATTTTTCGCATAAATTTTGAGATTATGTAAAGAAAGTGTAAATACAAAAGTTGTAGATCTTTTTATTACCTACAACTTTGCTATTTAACTTTTTGCGATAGGACTTGTAGTTTTGCCGGAAATCGTGATAAACCGTTTTCTACCCTTAAAAGCTCACTTTCTTCCCCTTCCGGACCTCAGATCGCCCGTAAATTATTTTTTCCTTTATTTTTGTTATGTTTTCTTCCTTTTCCAATGGGTATCATCCTGTTCTAATTTTTTTTCACTTTTTACCATTTTCAAATGCTTCGGCACTGGCCTATAACATGTCCAGCTGATTTCAAAAAAACGGGACAAGATGAGCAATTCAGGTTCACATAGATCAGTGAAAAGCAATGGGAATATGGAGTTTATATAACTGTAATTTGTCCCTTTTTTTTTAATCAAATGTACATGTGATATGTAGGGGAAAGCGAGGCAGGGTGGGTAGCTTTTTGGAAAATATTATGCATAATTCCTGTTCCTCTGTTAGTTATTATCAATATTACCTAAACGTTTCCGTTATTATGCATAATAACTGAAAATTTCAGTTATTACGCATAATTCCTAATGTTTCCGGTTATTATGCATAATAACTGATAAGTTTAGCGATTACGCATAATTCCTAAAATGTCTAGTTATTATGCATAATAACGGATTTCGGATATTAGCTGTAACATTAACACCAGTTAACAATTCAAACCCTAACCTGATCGGTGAATTTACAAAAATGAAACAAATTTACAGATTCAAAAGACGCAAGAATTAGCTGCGCGTATTGGGGAAGGCTGTGACGTCATCGTTACGATTAATTTTCGTTAAACAAAGGCTTCCTCTTTTTTATTAACTACCCAACTAAATTAACTGAAGACACTCAGCCTAACCTCTTTCACCATGCGGTTTTCATGCCGCGATCTTGTCTACCAACCAACCCTCTAACTAAAATTCCCCAGCGAGCTACCAACTACCAGAAAAAGAACTGAACATGCACAAGGCCTATGTTTAACGATTTTTTTTATTGAAGTTTTTTTTCAAATGCAAATTATTCAAATGTGAATTCGCGCCGCTGTTAATTAATTTCAGCGCGAAATTTGATTCAAATTAGGTCACCACAAGGATATATTTTATATTAGGAAAAACACAAACGAGGAAAATTTTAAGAACATTAAAAATATTCTACTTTACACCACTTGCAAACTAGCAATGTTTTTTTTTTCATATTTTCCCAGTTTTACATTTTTTTGTTTTGAAATGTACCCAAAATTTTTCTTCGATGTACAGGAAGATGCAAATTCTCTTTTATCGATTCTGAAGACATTTGTTTTTGGGCTTTCTTGTCATAAATTTGAATATTGTTCACCGGTTTCTTCCTATTTTTTCCTTACGACCGTAAAACTGAAGCTTTGATCAAAATCCACCTGGATTTGGCCCTTTTCACGATCGATGAAATCAATTGCTTGCCATATTTTATATGCTGTACTGAAATTTTAAGTTGTTGTTTAAATTTAAGAACGTAAACAACTTGTTTTGCAACTATTAGTTGTATCTCGAAACATACGTTAGATAATAAATAAGAAACTAAATGACTTTGTCTTCCTTACAAAAAAATGTAAGAATAAAAAATATTCAAAAATTATATCGTGATAGTTTTTTGTTCCGCATCTTCTTCTCTGTAACAAATTTAAAAAATATTCTGAATATACTGAATGTTTCCAGCTCTACATTATACTCATACGGCCAGAACGAAATATCCGCCAAAGCATGATGCCGATGCGATACAGTGCATTTAACAAAAGCTCAGCAACAACTGGTTCGGGGAGCATGATGGCCGCAGTCATGGTAACCGCAGCAACTTGTGATCAGAAACAACAAATTCAAAAGCACGTACCCCCGATAGAAAAGGATGAAGGTATGTCGTACTATTGTGTAGTAGCAAATTTAGTATTTACTCAATAACACACTCAAACGACGATTGCTGCTGCATCAGTACATCTTAACGTCAATAAAGCCAGACAGAAGCTCATGTCGCACTGTACACAAAACAAGTTTATTGACTTTGAAACATACTCAACATTTGATTATAAATTTCCAAAGTGTGACGTAGGTGTTTACGTTATGTTACCTTAACTGGAAACTGTAATGTAAATTAGATTATGTATAGGTGTCCTATAATTGCACTCATGTCCAAAGAAACAATTGACCTGTTTAACATACAAATTTGAAATGTTTGCACAATACGCTAGTTTTTTAAATGATGCACCTTTTTGCATATCGATTTCTCCGAAAAAACTTCTGGGCATTTTTTACAATACAACATAAATTTTTGTTGTAATTGTCTATAACTTTACAAAACGATACATTTGGGGGTGCAGTTACTAAGTTCCAGACCAACAGCTTAGAAATCCTGGGTTCAAATTCCTGTAAAGGTAACAATTTTTCTTAAATCTAAAAACAATTTCCCGTCGTAAAATAGATAGGCAGGACGATATAAAAAGCAAACAATCTTATTTTCTTTTTCTGCAGAGGTGAGCGAATCCAAAGCAAAGCCTGAAATGAAGGACTCCAGCACACAAACAACGCCACACCCAAGCAACAACATGCTCAACAGCTCTGAAGGGCATCTTCCTAAAATAAATAACAACTGTAACGTCGGAAATGGACCCATCACCCTCATTCCCGGAACGCAAATCAAGGATTTCTCTTTATAGCAGCAACAGCCGGTCCTCAGGACATCTAGCTTAAAATGTAGGAGAAATCCTGTACAAGTCTAATGTACTCAAAATACGAAAGTTGTATATATTAGGCGATTTTTTACGATAAGACTGTACCCACGTACACTTAATGTATGTACATGTTTTGTTTTGATTTTAGTAGCTGACTGGTGTAAATCGGGCTTTAACTATGTTGGAACAATTACAATAATTGTTGATTATTTATAGTGTAATACAGGGTATAAATTTGATTTCTATAGTTGTTTAAAGGTAACGTTTAAATGTGATTCTAATGTAAAAAGTCTTCAAGTTGGCAGTCGTGTCGTGCCAACGTTGCATTTTTATCGGTGCTGTGAATATGAGATTTGTATATTTCTCGAACTAATATTAGGTGTTTGGTAAATGTGTAAATACATGTAATTAATGTTGAATTAGTGTTACAATTAATTCTACGTAGACGTAAGAATATTATTGAATGCTACCTACGTATTATGATGTTAAAATTATCCATTAAGATATTAAAGTGTAAAAACTAAGATATTTCCATATACGAGTACATTCCATATATTACATTTTTATTAAACACAGTTGTTAATTACAAAATTTTAAGAAGAAAAGTCTTACAAATACTGAATTGTGACAGCGATCGGCGTTACTGAGCCCAATGCCGGATGGTGTCACACTAACGAGGAAGCTTTAATATAAGAAAAATGAATACCATTGTATAACCTTGTCATGATGATAATTATTTACAAAAATTAAACATACATCAAACATAATCGCACAAAGATAATTATTGTCATAGACTTTGAAAATGTGTTACGAGTTGTTTTCTTCGAATAACTTGCAGACGTGACGTACCTGTAAGCATGTTTAGTGTTTTCACATACATATAATGTACCATGTATCTCATCATGGATTAAATAAATTATATAACATTAAGTTTCATGTTGTCATTTCATAATTTTCAGTTTGTAAAATATGTAGTACATGTGACGAGGTGTAAAAAATTATATTTATGATACAAAATAGTTCATCATAATAAAAACAACGGGCTGGGTCATGAAGAAATCCGAAAGTAAAATACGTTTGACAGACAAACCCTTAGCATTACTTTTTCCCAATTCTGATCGGGTTTTTTTCAAGTTTTTATTTTTATTGCAGAGGTAGTTACTGGCACCTCTAAAACGTTTATTGTCATCTGTATAGAGTAATAAAAACTTTAACAGACGCATTAAACTTTAGTTTTCTTTTGTTTCCTGCATTTCGTTTAAGCGTGGTGATCTTTTAAGCATGATGGTCATGGAAAATTAGCCTATCGATTCTGAAGATTAACGAAAGAGTTATACTCTAATAAATGAGGAGCCATTAAATTAAATATTACACCTTTATCATTACGAGAGTTTCATTCGAGACATTTTTCTTTCTTCAAACAAATGTCCTGTCTGTCTAGTCATTTGGATTAACGAAAATTAGAATTGATGAAACTATTTCTTTTACTTATAGTTAGAATTTTGACTATTTTATAACTGATTATAGATTATAGTGGCAACCAATTTACTCATTAGTCTTTGTGTTTGCGGTAAATTTTGAACTCTAAAGAGGAAGAATTGTTTGCTGTTTATGTGTATTAACACTAAAAAATAAAAAAAAATCATCTACATTCTGAAAGTGCAGAAAATGTAATTTCAAAAAATGAAAAAAAATCAAATTCAGGAAAATACGATTTACAACGCAATTTTAAGAAATAAAAACGGTGTTTCAACTCCAATAGATGCTGAACAACAAAAATTGTATCAGAAATTTTGTTGTGATCGAAAAATTTGGTTAATTATAACTTGTCTAGCCTCCCCCTAACTACGGCCTTGTCTAGGGGTTATCAAATATCGAGAAAATATGAAAGTACTAAATTGCCTGACGGACTACATTTATGTACAACCTTAGGTTATCCTCGATTAGAGAAACAACTTAAAAGTGTTTATGTTCATACATCGGAAGAATGTTACGTAGAAATTAATTTAATTTGAATGGGTTCGTCCCCTCAAAACAGGATCAAAACTATTAAGTATTAAGCTACAGTCGACAAAATGTTCTGAATATCATTATTATAATTCTTATTAAATAAAAACGTTTGTATTTTCACATTTTCGCTAAAATAGGGTGACTTGTTCTTAATTTGATCAATAAAAAATATGAATGCAACGATGAATCACAAGTAAAAACTCATATTTTGCACATTTTGGATAGAATCTATTCGACAAAATTTTGAGATAACGTCACCAATTTTTTGGAAGGAATAAAGATTTCTTTTGGTTAACAATTTACCATGCTTATAATGACTTTAAAACGTCAGTAAGAGATTTCAAAGCCTTCAGTTTTGCAATTCTTAATTTATTCAATCAAATAAATTAACTGATTCTTTAATTTTTTTGAGTCACCCTGTATAAGCAAACAAGTAGACGAGAATTGCCCAGTTTGGACCGTTTGCACAAAATCTGCATTATAAGTGTCATTTTTTATTAAAAAAAGGTAACAAAAAATATATAGAGTCTTTGTTATATAGACTTTTAAGAAATGCTATGAAGAGGTAAAATAAATAATGTTTTTGTAGTAAAATTAAAAAAAAAACTGACATAATTGGACCTTTTGTAATATTTTCTTTTTTTTTTAAGACACCGATATTCTAAATTGAACCACAATGATCCTAATTTGAACCATCATTGGAATTTATATTGATAGACAAAGTTCACACACAAAATTAACTTCCTCTCCAATCCCGGCGCATTCTTCATGAGAACATTAGAACAGCGGCTACAACAAGTCCATCCCTCTCCACAACGTGACCTTTTGTAGGTGTCTCCACAGTACGGACACTCAGTGTTTCCTTCATCATTCTCTTCCTCTTCGGAACTTGTTTGAGGTGTCGACGGGTTATGCTTATCTCTTTTACTGTTACCTTATCTTTTCTTTCCAAATAAATCTCTTATCACATTTTTTCCCCTAATTCTTCTTTCTATGGTGTGCTTGTTAATTCCATAGTAGATTGGGATGCCTTGCCTTGTCTATCACATGTCTTTTTGGCTCCGGTCGGCAATGGCGAAATCTCGTTTTTTTTTTTTATTTTTATTCAATTACGTCCCCCAACAGGCACCGAGGCCCAATTACAGGGGAACGGGACATACACGTTACACCCAGAGCCATGGCGGGAATCGAACCCACGACCCAAGGTGTAGCGGGCAAGCATGATGCTAACTAACCCACCCCGGGTCCTCTCGTACAAACTAAACTGTTTTTTATTGATTAAAGGGGTGAGGAATGTCTTCTGCAAGACGGAATAGGAGATTCGTTCCTATTTTTGTCACAACTAGTTGATGGAAAGGGTAAAATAAGTGCAGAACAGCTTTGTTGTTGACCTGGAGTAGGAGTGACCCTATGATCAACTGGGAAATGTAATACTTCTGACGAATGTCTGGTTCAAATAGGAGATACACTAGTATCTCTAACGTAGCTAGTTGATGGAAAGGGTAAGCTAAGTAAGGAGAAATTTTGCTGTTGGTCAGGGAAAGAAGTGACCATACAATCAACTGGTAGGGGTAAGATTGCTGAGACGTTTCTAATTTGCAGACCACAGTTTATCTTGCAGACTGAGGGTTAAAAATGCTCCAATCAAGTCAAAACTCAACATTTGCTTATTTCTCAATGCGAAGATTGTTGATACAAAACATCAACCCGTTCGGAGAAATCGCTAAAAACTACCCCCAAAACAACCTTGCAGACTGGGGCTTAAAAATACTCTAATCAAGTTAAAATTTGACACTCGCTAGTTTTTCAATACGAGGATTATTGGTGCAAAATTTTAGCCCATTCGGAGAAACCCTCAAAAACCATCCTCAAAACAACCTTGCAGACTGGGAGTTAAAAATGCTCCAATCAAGTCAAAACTCAATATTTGCTTATTTATTAATACGAAAATTGTTAATACAAAATTTCAACCCGTGCAGAGAAACAGTTACAAACCACCCCTAAAACAACTTGCAGACTGGGGCTTAAAAATACTCTAATCAAGTTAAAATTTGACACTCGCTAGTTTTTCAATACGAGGATTATTGGTGCAAAATTTCAGCCCATTCGGAGAAACCCTCAAAAACCACCCTCAAAACAACCTTGCAGACTGGGAGTTAAAAATGCTCCACTCAAGTCAAAACTCAACATTTGCTTATTTATCAATACGAAGATTGTTGACATAAAATATCAACCCGTTCGTAGAAAGCGTTAAAAACTACCCCCAAAACAACCTTGCAGACTGGGGCTTAAGAATACTCTAATCAAGTTAATATTTCACTTTCGCTATTTTTTCAATGCGAGGATTACTATTGCAAAATATCAGCCTATTCGGAGAAACCCTCAACAATCACCTCCAAAACAACCTTGCAGACTGGGGGTTAAAAATGCTCCAATCAAATCAAAACTCATTATTTGCTTATTTCTCAATGCGAAGATTGTTAATACAAAATTTCATCCCGTTGGGAGAAACGGTTAAAACTACCCCTAAAACAACTTTGCAGACTGGGACTTAAAAATACTCTAATCAAGTCAAAATTTGACAGTCGCTAGTTTTTCAATACGAGGATTATTGGTGCAAAATTTCAGCCCATTCGGAGAAACCCTCAAAAACCCAAAAAACAAACCTTGCAGACTGGGGGTTAAAAATGCTGCAATCAAATCAAAACTCGATATTTGCTTATTTCTCAATACGAAGATTGTTGATTCAAAATTTCAAGCCGTTCGGAGAAACCCTTAATTTAAAACTACCTTTAAAACAGATTTGCAGACTGGGTGTTAAAAATACTCCAGTCAAATCAAAACTCGACATTTGCTTATTTCTCAATACGAAGATTGTTGATACAAAATTTCAACCCTTTCGGAGAAACCGTTAAAAACTACCCCCAAAACAACCTTGTAGACTGGTGCTTAATACTCTAATCAAGCCAAAATTTGATATCATTAGCCAAAATCGGTCTTATCATAGCAGATACTAGCCCCGCCCACCCACCCTCTCTTTTCTTAGAGGGTATCTCATTTGCCAAAATCAGTTTTATCTCAGCAAATACTAACCCCGCCCACCCACCCTGTTTTTTCTTAGAAGGTATGTCATTTGTCAAAATCAGTTTTATCTCAGCAAATATTAGCCCCGCCCACCCGCCCTCTCTTTTCTTGGAAGGTATGTGATTTGCCAAAATTAATCTTATCTTAGCAAGTACTAGCCCCACCCACCCTCCCTCTATTTTCTTGGAAGGTATGTGATTTGCCAAAATCAGTCTTATCTTAGCAAGTACTAACAATCTAAACGTCATATTTAAGATAGCACAATGCAAATTGCTTCATCATACAAAAATTGTGGAAATTAATTATAGTCCCGATTTTAAGTTCGCATACCTTATTCCCTAGTTTTTCAAAACGGGGGTTATTGATGCAAAATTTCCTGCCTATTCGATGTTGATACAAAATGTCAATACATTCGTAGAAATCCTTAAAAGAAACAGACTAGGGATTAAAACAGCCCGGCTACCCAGCGATCGCCTTAAAAGCTCAGGCTGCCTAACGATTCACTTCAAAAAATTATTTTATTATTTAAATTTAATTTAGTTTTTTTAATTTATTTTTTTATTATTTTATTGTTAATTATTAATAAATTTATTGATATTTAAATTTAAATTTACAAAATATATAAATTACGAATATACTTAGTATACTATGTAAGAATGCATTCGGCTTTTTTTCGTCCATTCTCTTATTTTGGGGTGTGTTTTTACACGTCATTTTTGCTGTTAACTTGGTTCATTCAGTACCTACTATATGCTGATTTTGAGTTCTTTGAGGTGTGTCTATTATTAAACTTTCATTGTCAGTCAAAAAATACAAAGTGGTGTCCAGAAGAGAAAATTCAGAGGAAACAAAATCTTAAAGACATTTTAAAGAAAATTAGAGACATTTTTAATTTCTGAGAAACCTAACGTAAAGAAAACGTTTTCAGAGAAAGTTTAAATTAATAAATAGGAACCTCAAACTTAATTTTATTTGAATTTCAAAAAGAACACAGAAAAGTGCTAATTTCTTAATTAATTATTATTAATGGGAAAACAGATAAAGATTCGTTATATTCAATACGACGCAAAATTGTCTTCATAGGTCTTACAGCCTTCGGATGGTGTCCACGTCCATTTCTCTAACTTTCTGGTAGATTGTGCTTATTAATTGTTCTTCTAAATTGGCTTCCCATGGGGTGAGTGGGCGGAGTTAATTATGTTCTTCTGTAAAGTGGCAAGAAACTAATAAAACCTGGGCTGTTAAAAGAGAAGAAAGAACGATAATCGTTTTTTATTTGTTATACTATTTGCTATAAAAATGCATTTCTTAATTGAGAAGAAAAAAGAACAGGTGGGTGAGTGGGGCTACTTTTAACTTATTCTCACGGAGTCTTTTATAAACAAGCAGGAGCCCCGCCCATCTACCCCCTCTTCATTCCAATGACTACTCTAAATATTGTTCAGTCTTACCTTGGCAGGTGTAATCCTCGCCCACCCGCCCTCTGTTTTTTTAGTTTTAGTTAGTAGTTTATTACTCCGAATTGAGATTTTACCCGAAACGTCCAGATTTTTGGAAAACAAATCAAAATTAGGAAACAACATTTTGACATTTAATTTGGAATCTACAAAACCGAATGCTTTGAATTCTTGTAGATAGTTAAAGCAGCTTTCAACACGAAAGGGTACAGGTGGTGGGAGTGCGCAGAACATTGTTTTGGTTTAGCCTTACAAATATCGTGCAAGCAGTGGCAGCGGAGATGAATATTTCGATTTTAAATATTAAAATATTATTGCGGTTAATAAAAATATCACTTTTCTATTTTATTAGCGTTGACATTATAGAAAAAGAATTTAAACAATTGTTAGTGCTATATTCGATGTATGAGTTGAATAAAAAAGTAAGTAAAAGAAGTAAAAAAGTAATTTTTAGTGAGCAATAATAACTGTTAAATTAGGGTACAGTCGAAGCTCTAGTTATAAACGACAGTTATGCTAGAATATTACTTCGATGTTAAAGACAGAAAACGTTAAGCCTTATTATAATCCGACTTTACGGTATCGATAAATTGTGCCAGAAAATAAAAACCATATAATTATAGTCATAGGTTGCTTATTCTCAGAGTTTTAAGCCCGCTTTTATCTAAAGATTTAACTGTTGATTTAAGACTAGTCGACTATAAAATAGTATATGATACTGGTTTATAATGAAATGTTTTACTCATGCTATAATCCCTCACATTATAAACTCGTTTAATAATTAAAAATACCAAATTTTGTGTGATAGATTATCATAATTTATTGTTACGTAAGTCTATTTTTTTAACAAACAAATTAATTTATTTTTATTAAATGTTTGTCTGTATTCTTTTGTAGAAATTGCTCTTTTTTTAGTTGTTTTTGAAAGAAGTACAACTCAGCCGAGCCTCCCTTCTCAATGCATCGATGTTACGCCACTGATGGCCCGGCTACAAGTCGCGCAACTTAAGCCCCGCCCCTGTACCCTTTCGTGCTGAAATTACTTCTAACAATTATAATAAGCATGATAAAATTTAGATCACAATATATTTACTTATCCCCTACAAAAAATTGATGACGTCAGCTCAAAAGTTTGCCAAATAAATTGTATCTAAAATGTACAAAATATGATGAGTCTGTACTTGTGATTTATCTTTCGATTCATATTTTTTGGATTTGCATATACAAGGTGACTCAAAAAAATTAATGAATGCGTCAATGTATTTTATTGATTAAATCAGAAACTACAAAACCAAATGCTTTGAAATCTTGGAGATATTTTGAAGTTATCATAGGCATATTAAATTTTTAGTCAAAATATATTTGCTCATCCCCCTAAAAAATTTATGACGTCACCTCAAAATTTTCTGAATAAATCCTATCTTCAATGTGCAAAATCTGATGAGTCTCTTCTTGTGATTTATCACTCCATTATTTTTTTTTTGATTTGCATATACAAGGTGACTCAAAAAAATTAATGAATGCGTGAATTTATTCTATTAATTTAATCAGGAACTACAAAAGCGAACATAATAGTATTGTCTAAACTCTTTAGACCAATTTTTACGGTTTATGTTTGTACTCTGAAAAAAGTCGACTATTTGCAGGCTCAAATTACAAGCATCAGCAGTTAAAAGAAAATGAAATTTGATTAATTTTGTCTCGTCACCACAGAGAAAAGGACTGATTAATAATTAACCACACTCAATTTTTTTCCCAAAAACGCTCATAAAAGTGAAGAACTTTATTCGACAAAACTAGTTATAAGATGACGGACAAATTTTGACACTTTACCATGTTTGCATTACTTAATTGTTCTTAAAATATTTGCAAGATTTTAGAGCATTCGGTTTTATAATTTCAAAGTTAAATTATTGTAAAATATTGTTACAAAATTTTGATTTTTTTTCAAAAATATGATGTCTAAGGCAAAGACTCGACACTGATTTATATATCACACATACAGAGAATGTAATTTTATAAAATTTAAAAAATATTTATTAGCCAAAATTGTAAAATAACGTCATCACTTTTTGGGGGGAATATAAAAAAAAATTATTAACGATTTGTTACGCCTACAATAACTTTAAAACGTTTGCAAAATTTCAGAGCATCCAGTTTTGCAGTTTCAAAGTTAAATTACAAAGTGTTGTTATATGTACAATTTTTATTTTTTATCCAAAAATCTGAATGCTAGGACTTATCTTAATTTATAAAATTAAACAATGTTATGTTAATAAAGTTAAAAAATGATTATTTCAGAAAATAATAAACTACATGCCATATTTATTTTTACTGAAATCGAGACTATAAAAATATACTTACATTTTTGCAGAAAACGTAGAAAAAAGAAATTTAAATATACTTGCGGATTTCACTGTTACTCATCAGGTCCATATCTCATATTTTTTAAATAAATATTTTCATAAAAACAAACATAACAAAAAAATGTAATAAAAAAACACCAAATAAAATAGACTGATTTTTATTAATCACAATTACAAAGTTTCAGACCAAGCACACTACAATAAAGAAACTCTTAATAAAACCAAGCATAATTAACCAACTGCACGATGTGACCACAGTCATTACCAACCCAAGCTTGGACGAGTTGTCAACGAAGAAGCTTTAATCCTAGAAAACACAACAATTACAACTCAAAACCATTCACCTAATCAAAAAATAAATAGACAAACAAACAAAAAATCGGCAAATCAAATGAGTGTTGTGGAACTGCTCTAAAGGACTTTGGACAGGTTCCTCATTAAAAAGCAACCACTTGACACACAATTTATTCCATTAGTTTTGACAAGAAATGAATTTAATATGTAAGTCACTACAGTACAACAATTAAATCACACTTACGTTATTTTAAAAAAATGCAACAATTCGCAGGGGAAATCATTATTCAAGATTTAAGCCAAAACTTACTGCTGTGCCTTATACCTTTGATTTTTGTTGACTTCTTCCCTTTCTCACTGGTAGCTGCTGCCTCTCGGTTATCTGTAGCCATGGCCTCGTCCGTGCCGTCTGAACGTTCCTGCAACTGTGTCTTTAAGGTTTTCTTTATATTACTAATCTGTAACAAAATATTTTATTGACTTTGTTGTAGATAAATGAAAATTATAGGACCTCTTGCTCCACTTCTGCTTTTCGCAGCATTGATCGATTTTTCTCAGAGTTAGCTCGGTGAATTTGGGTCTCCACACAAGCTAAGACGCCTTCACAAGCTGAACACCAGTCTTGAAGACAGTTCACAATTACGTTGATGTCTTCAGGTCTGATGTCTCGACCGATAGCATAGTCAATTTCTAACTGACTATTCTTTTGGTCTAGTTTACCGTGAATTATGTCAGCATAAATTGCTTCAATGATCAAGTCCTCTAAGTCTCTCACATTCGCTATTCCTAGTTCCACTAACAAGATGTTATATGAGATGCACTTAAAAACAAAAAAAAGTGAGGTTATGTTGCAGCGTAATATTCAAATCAATACTTTGGACTTAGTTGCGAGCGTTACTATGGTTAAATGTTGCAATTTCTTCTTCTGAGCGGGTGTTAATTCAATAAATTCGTTCTTATTTGCTACATATTCCTTGTAAGTTCCATAAGCAAATAGGTTAAGAGTATTGTAGAAATTTCTCTGCGGAGTGGCATTTAACTAGAAAAAAATTAACATAGATAAAGTAGAAATAAACAATAGTTAAATACAACCTCCTCAACGTTCTGCATGTGCAGTAGTTCTCCAAAAACGTACACCCCTGGGGCCTCCAGAACCTGTTTTATGAGTTCAGTACAAGCAGCCCCCTTTGTAGACTTTGCTAGCAAAACAAACTGCTCCAACGCATTGGTACAAAAAGGTGTTTTTTCCACAACCATTTCATTAATTTCTCTCCACCGGTACACTCTTAATTCGCAAAAAAATAACCACACTGTCAGTGTCAAACTTCCAACATCAGTGTTGAATTGTCAAAACTTGGCGCGCAATTCAAACTAATTGCAGCATACATATTTTTTAAAACAAAAATCGTCGATTAAATTGGACACAATCGTCTGCTCGTGTCGCTTGCACAAAGTGTACACAAAAACTGAACGTATAATCTACAATTCTTGTGGGGAGAGCTGTTTGTTTTATCGATATTTTCCTAAATAACTGCCTCTGCGTCTAGTTGGTGGTTGCGTTTCTGTGTTAAATATTTACGATGTATCGAGACGAGGTAATATTTTATTTATTTTTAAATGAGCAGTTTGTTTTAAATTCTAAGCATTTATTTAATGATCAGTTGCAGGACGACGAAGATTTGCGTGTGGAAATATTTCATCTAAAAAAACAACTGTCTAATGTTAGCACGGAAAATAATTTCTTGAAGGTAAAAATTAGGAAACTACAAAACGAAATCGTGAAAAAGGACAAGCAGATGGATGTTATGTTGGATCCTCGTAAGGTAGAGTATTAAAGAGAGAAATTTATCGGAAAATTCGACTTTGAATGAGTTAATTAACTTAATTTAATGTTTCATTATTAATGACCATAATTATCACGGTGGGGTGCCGCCGAAATAATTTTGATAGTCCAAATTATAATATAAACATAATTATATGGCTCTGTTTTCTCAATTCTTTCCCCATCACTTGATTAATTATTGGTATTCACACCAAATTAACTTAACTTAACAAAATTGGACATCTTACTTCTACAACAATTTTAATTTTCTGCGTTTAATTATACAATGATAACTTTTTTATAAGCAAGATAGTGACGTCATAAATATATTTTGAACGTTAAAAATATATGTACGTAGAAAGAAAAATATAGCATTATACTCACTACCTATTGGGTTTATACTTATATATATTTTAAAATTAAACCCAAAAAAGAAGGTTTTTGTCGTTTTTTGAAAAAGAAAAAGCGTAGGATATCATGTCAGACAATTTTGCCATTTTTTTTTTATAATTTTAGTACTTTTAGTAACTTTAATTGCGTGTAATTGATTACAAACGTTTAGATATTTTTTGATATGTGATTAAAAAAATTCATTGTGTTAGCCCTAAAAAAAATAGAGCTGTACTTTAAAAATACTATATCATAACTTCAAAGAAAAGTAAAATTTGTTTGCTAAAATGTTCATACTATGTTCAAAATTACATTTTTGAATATTTAGGGGAATTTATTTGAAATGTATAGTCATCATACACTTAAAGATTTAATCTAATTGAATATTTTATATTGGTATTCATTAAAAAATCTACAATATTTCCAATTTTTTTTTTTAATTTTGGGTTAAAAATTACTATTATTATTTTTTTTTTGTTTTAGACTAATGACGTTCGTAAAATACTGTACGAACGCAGCGCTTCATTCGTCTTAAACATGAAAGAAAAAAACGACGAATTATTGTATCTTCTACGCGAAAAAGACGTCCTAATAAGACGTCTTCAGAACCAGCTGGACATTACCAAATTATACTCGCAACCACCCAAACGTCACTTTCCGTGCAAATGTCCAGATCATGTAGAACTCGACAACAAAATTCGCCAAATACAAGTAAAAACGTCGCGTTGTAAAAGCGGAAATTTTTGCCTCAAAGCTTCGCAAGACGACGAAAATAAAAAGAAAGAGAGAAGTTTATCGTGGACCCCTGGTCTTCACGAAGCTGAATCTACCCTTATCGAAGAACTAAAATCAAACGAAGAAAAGTGCAATAAAGCACAAAGTAGTGCACATGACGTAAAAGGTAGTACTGGGTGTTGTCGTTTTTAACACTATACAACTTGTTGTTGTAGATCAATACAGGAGTCTGTCTCGCGATCACCTTCTATCAATTATTGAAAATTTGAAGAACAATCAAAGATATTCGCCGTTATCTCAACAAACCAGCTCCAGAAAGTCTAGTCCTGAAAGCGATTTAGAACGAATAGAGCTTTTGTGTGAAAGCCCTCATGAAGAAATACAACAACTTCATCTACATTTCCTGGATATGATTTCTGAGGTAGATCATCTGAAGAATACAATCGCTCAGTTGCAAAACAATCAAGAGAAGACAGACAACGTGTTGCGAAAAAAAAAGTAAGTAAGTACATAATTCGAAACTGTTTATAATTTATAATTTTACTTTGTAGTACAAACATTGACAAACTAGCACAAGAAATAAAAAATCTAAAACGCCCAAAATCCAGGCCTAAACCTAGCCGAAATCGTAGTAATAGGTGCTACAGCAGCGCAGATTTCGTCAGTCAAGTGTATTCTACAAACAACACCGTTAACAATCATAAAAGAGACTGCGTTAGAAGCGAAAGAAACAAACGTGTTAAAACAAACGAAAAGAAAAGTAATGATAAAGAAGAAAAGTCAGATCGTTCTAAAGCAAGTACACTAAGAAGAAAGCAAGATATGAAAAACGCGATGGTTCAAGTAAGCGAAATAGACAGTCCGGAAAGCTCCAATCGATGTGTTTACATCGAAAAGGAGAGTATCACGATTACACAAAAGGCCACATCTGTTGATAAACAAGAAAAAGAGTACGATTATGAGGACGAAATATTCGAGGAATGTGACGACGAATCCGTTGCAGCGACTTGAAACTTTACACATTTTTATTTGTAGTCATATTTTATATTTTTTAAGTTATTGTAAAATGGTATGTTTCAGGTGATGTAAAATGAAAACTTGTGACGTGGTGTAATAAATGTGATCGTTTTTTGGTTACGATAATTATATGACCTTTAAGATTGTTGGGGAATTATTGAGCGTCTTATCTAAATAAGCACTCTGGGTCGAGTTAAAAAAAAACTAGATCAGTTTTTCTTAACATGTAATTTACGAGAGCTAATCAATAATACACGTTATGATGGTTTGCAATGCTCAGTCCTCTCATGCTTACAGGTGTTTTCATTCCAGCATTATTTATTCAATTGTTTATCGATTTGAATAATTTAGGGCGGGACGGCTAATACGTAATTTTTTTAAAAATTTTTGAATTGATAAATAATGTACGAAAATTGCCTGGTTTGAATATGGATTGGTTTTTTGTTTGGAATGTACTTGAAAGTTTTCCGCTGAATTTCTTTAGAAAATAGGTTATGGATATCAGGAGAAAATAAACATTAATAAGCCGGACATTTGTTGTATTTTACGAATTTAACAATGTATTTTTTATTTTCTGATCTCTCTGTTATTTTTTTTAAGTTTAATAAGGATGTAATGACTTATTCAAATTAAGTTTATAAAAAAAGGATATTAACATAGTAATATCATGTTTATGGGAAATAAGATTTGGAGCGAAATAATGTTAGCAAAATTTAGTTTTTAAAATTGTATTGTAAATTTTTTCCAAACAGAAAGTGACGGCAAGGCATGAGAATTTGTCCTGGGTAGGTACGTTTTTATGTATCTTCCTTAATTAATCCGACAATTTGATACTTCTGCAACTTTTATATTTTCTTTCTGAAATACAAATACTTTGTCTCAACTTCATAAATATATATCTGTGCCAAGTTGCGTCTAAAATTATTTCAAATTAAATTTCTACTAAAAATGATACATTTTAAAATAGTTTTTTGTTTTGAAAATCGTAAATTACAAAACAGGTTGCATTGAAGTACGCTTTAAGGTTGTCCTGAATATGGGAAATCTCTAATCATCCCTTTCAAGAATTTGATGACGTCATTTCAAAATTATTAAAGTCAGTATCATTTGAACTGTTCAAAAAAATCAAGCTTCTATAGTATATGTGATTTATTCATTCTATTTCTTCTTTCTATATTTTTTCAAATTGTTCATACATGCATGGTGTTTTGATAAAATTAATGAATCTTAAACAATTATTAATTTTCGTTCAATCAAAAACGGCCCATCTGATTTTTCTCAAATTAGAGTTACACAGTGCTGCTTTTTTTGTATTACATTGTGTTTATTCAAGTTGAAAATTTTGTTCCTATTAATAAGTTGATGACACCATCACAACATTTTATAAAGAAAACGTTACTTAAAGTATACGCATTGCATCTTGTTTTTCAACAATTTGCTTTTATGAAAATTTTGCATAGTAAATCCTCTTTAAATTTGCTATACAGTTCGTCTTAAAATCTATTACACAAAGCTTTTTGAGGCTTCTCTCTGGCGCTGTGTGTTATGTATGTGTATGACGTCATAACAAATTTTGTATTGATCAAGTTAAGAGCGAGTCACCCAAATCAAACAAATTTCTATTAGACATTCTTCCGATGTATCAACAAATACTTGAAGTTAAAGCTTGTTATTATTGCTGAGAGGCCATTTTTCCCGTTGGTTACGTGTTTTACATTGTCTTAAATATATTTTACATTGTCCCTGCTTGTGCAATTTCACAATCCATCGCAATTTGTGTCTCTACTGTGCAGGGGCTGTGGAGGTGTTATTTATGCCGCTGGTTTTTACTTTCCAGATGTTATCACAAAACAAACATCGCAAAATCTCCTTCTCCATGAACATGCATAATCCTCTCACTATTACTATCAAAATTAAATTCCAGTATATGTAACAGACTCTTTCTTGACAGAAGCGAAATTTATTTGTTTATTGTTGCTTAATTAAGAGAAAGTCAAACAGGCAATTTACAAAGTAATTTAGACGTAAGATTAATGAGACAAAGTTAATACAAGTTAATCCAATTTAAACAATGGAGATTGTACTTTAAAAACTAACAGAAATATAAAATTCAATAAGTGTGATTACAAGATAATATTTTTCTAAAGAGATTCAAATTACAATTAAATATATCAATAGATGGAGCAATTCTCATACAAAGAGAGTGAAAGTCATAGTTCTTTGAAGCTCAGTAGAAAATAACCTCTAGTATTGTAATTAGGAACCCGAAAGTTAAAAAAAAAATTATTAAAATTGGACCACCAAATAGGTTATGTAAAATTATATAAACACAAAGTAAGATAAATTCACTCCTACGAAACTCAAGTGATTCCAATCCTAACAACTGAAGACGATCCTCATAAAGATGGTTATTTTTGTCGATTTTAAGTTTAAATGAACTGAAATCAACCAATTTTCGTTGTATTTTTTTAATAGGCTCAACTCTATTTCTGTAATATGGATTCCAAATGACGCAACCATTTTCAAGAATAGATCTAACTAACGAATGAAATAATTTGATGATTACGATTACATTATTGAAATGTTTGCATTACCTTTTTATAAGTCCGTAAATCTATATACACTTTTCTTATGATGAAAATTATACTCAAGACGAAAATTCAAAATAATGCGTAAATCCGAAATAGTTGCAACAGTTTAAAGGCTGATGTTACCAATAGTATATTGATATTCGAGAGGATGTATTGATGCGAAAGTTATAATTTTACACTTATCTATATTTAAAGACATGTCGTTATCATTGCACCAATTATTTAATGAATCAATGTCTTTTTGAAAATTAATATCTAATATCATTAGTGTTCGTTAATTCTAAAAAGAGTTTTAAATCATCTGAAGATAATAAACATTTTGAATATTTGAAACGATGAACAACACCATTGATAAATAAGCGGAATAAGATTGGGCCTAAGTGACTCCCTTGGGGGACACCGGATGTAACCTGGATTTCTTTTGACAGAAAGCCCTTAAGATTGACTTTTTCGAAAATATTTCCGACGCTTTGAAGAAATCGGTGTATACCGGGTGTCTGGAAAATGGCGAATTAACTCTCCGCTACGCTCTTAACAATCAACTGGTAAGTCTGGGAAAATAGTAAAAAAAACCTTCTTACATTTTGGTGGTGTTATAATGACTTTAAAATTGGTTTTTTGCTACGTTTAACAACTAAACAACACATTCATTATCACAATAACTAGTAATAAAACTTTTAGTTATAATATTTCTTTCACCCACGACCATGTTTAATTACCATTTCAGTTAGAATGCACAAAGATTGTGTTGTTTTTGTAATAATTGGATAAAATTCCATTTGACAACAATGGTTGCCGATATAAAGCGAAGGTGGATTTAAGTTACCATCGTTACTAAGAAATCAGAAAGTAAGCCGGAGGTATTCACGCATTACGTGTGAGCAGAGTTGCCAATTTTACTTTTATAAAATTAGGGGAAAGGTGCCTAAAATGATCCCCCTAAGGGAGAAATTCTTTAAAAAATACAAATTATTATTATTCATGTAAAACTGTAGCATTATTTGTAAGAACATTGATTTATCTAGGTAACAGTATAAGCCAATTGGTGATTCAATAATTATAAAAAAAGTTATTAACTTTTTTCCAGGACCTTACAAAAGGATCATTTTAGGCATCCCCATAGGTAAAATGATCCCTCGGCATGGGCATAATGATCCCATTGAATTTTGACCATAAGGGGACAGCATCAACAAGAAAAATCAAATCATGACATATCTGATAAATATTTTATTTCAAAAATTAACAAAAAAATAAATTCTTAAAAAAAATAAACAAAAAAAGTTTGAAAAGCACCGAAAATAAGGGGTGTATAATTTCTGGAAGAGTTTGAGACAATACTTTAGTCATCAGTACGTGCTAAGATAAGACTAATTTTGCCAAATGGGATACCCTCCAAGAAAAGAGAGGGCGGGTGGGCGGGCCTACTACCTGCTAAGATAAAACTGAATTTGGCAAATGATATACCCTCTAAGAAAAGAAAGGGTGGGTAGGTGGGGCTAGTAACTGCTAGGATAAGACTGAATTTGGCAAATGATATACCCTCTAAGCAAAGAGAGGGTGGGTGGGTGGGGCTAGTAACTGCTAAGATAAAACTGAATTTGGCAAATGACATACACTCTAAGAAAAAAGAGGGTGGGTGGGTGGGGTTAGTAAGTGCTAAGATATAAGACTGAATTTGGCAAATGATATAGCCTTTAAGAAAAGAGAGGGCGGGTGGGCGGTTCTACTAACTGCTAAGATAAAACTGAATTTGGCAAATGATATACCCTTTAAGAAAAGTGACGGCGGGTGACTGGGATTAGTACCTCTTAAGACTGAGAATTTCCCAAAAATAGAACACGAAAATCCCTAAAATTCTTTTAAATTATTTAAATTTCCCCGTCTTAAGAGGTACTAGCTCCACCCACCCTCCCTCTCCTCTCTTAGAGGGTATTTCATTTGCGAAAATCAGTTTTATTTTAGCAGGTAGTAGGTGGGTGGGGCTAGTAACTGCTAAGATAAAACTGGTATTGGCAAATGGTATTCCCTCGAAGAAACTAAAGGGTGGGTGGGCGGTGGGTGGTAAGTACAGTATAACCTAGATAATCCGAATTAATTAGGGAAAGGTGTGTTCGGAATAGCGATTTGTTCGGATCAGCGAATTTCTCAAAAAGCTGAAATGGAACTGAATAACAACTTCATACATTGCTGAAAACTAATTTCAATAACTAAACTTTAATTTTATTATTCTTGACCAATAATGGATAATAGATACATTCGAAAAAAATTTTACTTCGTGACCATAACAATGCTATATTTTTGGAATCAACACGTCGGGATCTATATCTCTGAATTTAATCAGAATTTTTAGATGACTTTGTCAAAAATGAAATTTCCCATAATGTATTCGTATTACCTCCCTTATGCAAAT